TTAGCACAGTTGAGCTAAGCCACGCCCAGGCTCCTTGCTGTCTCCTTGCTCACACAGCAAATACTGTTTCAGTTTCCAAACAGCCCTCAACTCTCTCACACACTGACAGGACGCTAGCCAGATGGATACCGATGGATGCTGGTAAGCAGAGGCACAATGTTTTTTCCCCTTATTTTCCTCCCCCAAAACTAAGCCCGACCCCGTAGTTTCGTACCGAAGCACGGGTATTGAGCTAGTATCCAATAAAATTATCCACTCACAAGGGCCACAAGATGAGAAGCAGGAGACCCTATACCATTTCAGACAAATGGTCCAAGAAGCTCCTTCCCCTCTTGCCATTGATTAATTGTTCTTCAGTCAGAACTGAAGAAGCTCCTCGGAGGAGAAGCGAAACGTCTTCAGAGAAAAACCAGAAAGTCCAATTGCCTCTTGGGAAAAAAAGCACCTTTGGGGCAATTCTGCACTCTGTTCCCAGGTTCTCCTTGAAGGCTGGTTTGATCTGGTCCTGGCATCTCTGGTTTCTGCCCGGCCTGCCTCCCCATTGCCATCACTTGTCTTCCCGTCACCATATTTCTTTTTGCTACTCTACGTTTGACACACACACACACACACACACACACACACACCACATTTTATGTCAAGATGCCAACAAAGCACAAAAGCTGAAGATGGCAGATATCTGACAATCCTTCCGTTGAGGCTGCCTAGGCCTGCATTAGCGTTTTTGGCAGCTGTGGCCTACTGCTGGCTCATACCGTTCCACTGTCGGGTTTGGTTCTGCAACGCAGCCACAGGACAGAGCCAGGCTTCAGAGCGTGAGCAAGCAGAGGGGCACCCAAATCCATTGATTTAGTTTTAGGGGAGCCTCAGAACTGCAAAGTTTAATAAGCTCTGCCCAAACTACAGTTTGGGGATAATGGCCCAAAGAAAAGAAAAGAAAAAATATCAGAACACCCGGTTGCCTCTTGGAAAAAGCATCTTTGGTGACCTGGATGGCTGAGAATCTCCATTAGACGTCTGGCCACAAAGCTAAATATTGTCAGCAATAGATTTGGAAAGGGTTTTATTTCCATTAGACAATCAGTGACTTGCTTGGGTTATCGTTTCGCAGATATTTCCTCATATAAACTGAGGTGGGGAAAGGACAGCAGTGGCTTTTGACTTCCTGATGGCTTCCCCATTGATTTTCCTTACAGAAAGATCGGCAGAGCGAGCGCATGGGAAATGCAGATCATGTAACCATATCTGGCTGCAGGAAACGCAGCACCACAAAGTTCTGGGTTCTACATTTAGGCAAGAAAAATCAAATGCGTAGGTAGAGGATAGGTGGTACCTGGCTCAATAGTAGTAACTGTGAGAGGGATCTCGGAGTCCCAGTGGACAACCATTTAAACATGAGCCAGCCGTGTGCCGCACCTGCCAGAAAAGCCAACACAGTTCTAGGCTACATCGACAGAGGGATAGAATCCAGATCACTATCATTAGTACCACTTTATTGTTCTGACCAAGGCTTCCTGAGACACCAACAAACATACAAAATACAAACCCCTTTTATTTTAGTTCAATGGCTGTGAATTATCACCATTCACAGCCCAGAATGAGTTTTAAACAGGTCATAATTAGTCCCAGGGTTGTCTGCCAAAATTCCTCGGGAGGTGTCTGATAAGAACGCCCCTTTATCTGACTTGAAGTGCTGCCAACGACTAAAGTCCCAATTAGTCTTTCCAAAACTAAACAGAGAACAAATTCACAAACTTTCAGAGTCCAAACCGACCAGTTACTTCCTGCAGAGGATTTCCTACCTTTGCACTTCCTTTATAGCTTATGGGAGGGCCAATCACCTCCAAGCCTTACTCCCGAGTCGCCACTTTTGTCTCAGCTGCTCTTGCCTTCTGGCAGCTCTGCACATACGCACACTGAGCACAGGCTCCCCTTGCTCCTCTGCCTCACTGCTGCCAGACTCTGGAGTCAGCACCCCACTCCCAGATGGTCCTGGCCCGCTCTCTGCATCGGACGCAGGACCCTCGTCCGAGCCCTCCCAGACCCCCGGACTGGTCCCCGTTCTTCCCCACTGTCCGATTCCGCTGCTGTCTGCACAGGCTGCTGGCGAACCACAACATTTGCAATCCCTTGGTAAGGCCACACTTGGAATACTGCACCCAGTTTTGGTCTCCATGATGTAAAAAAGAGGTTGAGACTCTAGCAAGAGTGCAGAGAAGAGCAACCAGGATGATTAGCGGGCTGGAGGCTCAAACATTCGATGAACGGTTGGAGGAACCGGGTATGTCTAGTCTAATGAAAAGAAAGACTAGGGGAGACATGATAGCAGCATTCCAGGATCTGAGGAGCTACCACAAAGAAGAGGGAGTCAATTTATTTTCCAAAGCCCCTGAAGGCAGGACAAGAAACAACAGATGGGAACTCATCAAGGAGAGAAGCAACCTGGAATTCAGGAGAAACTTCCGAACAGTGAGGACAATTAACCAGTGGAACTGTTTGCCACCAGAAGTTGTAAATGCTCCAACACTGGAAGTTTTCAAAAAGATGGTGGATAGCCATTTGTCTGAAGTGGTGTAGGGTTTCCTGCCTAAGCAGGGGGTTGGACTAGAAGACCTCCAAGGTCTCTTCCAACTCTGTTATTCTATTCTAAAGTTGCCAAATTTGGGGAGCATTCTGCAAGTTCGCCCATTTGAGGTATGTTAATTCAAAATGTGTTGCTCTGAAGAGGCACCGTTTCACCCAATCAAAGGTTACAAACAATCAAACAGAAACGTTGCATAAGTTTGTTTGTTTCATGAATATTTTTAATACATTCAGAAGCAAATGCGAATTCATGATGAAGTCCCAGGCTGCACGTGAAGGTTATGATCCTGCTGGTATTATATTACCCTGCTTTTCTGAATAAGCAAAAAAAAAAAAAAGGCAGCATTCACATTACACCAAAACAAACCACAGCAGCTGGAATCGCTCAATTGTATTTCTGTTTTTCTGTGTGGTTAATTTACAATTACAGTATTATGCAAATCCAAAATTAAAAAAGATTGAGCTAATAACCACTGCTCAATTATCTATGCACAGGTAAGCATGTTATGGGAGGGGAGGAAGATCACATTTTGCAGGTAAACTATTCCTTAAGAGTTCCAGATTAGATAGCCTTATCTTTTCGTAACATCACCCCTGTTTATGGCTATTATTTTTGCAATTTAATTAAGTGCTACATAAAGAATTCACAGGTGTTGGTCTCATCATTTTCTTTTTATAGAATCATTGCTGTAATGTAGTCCTCAGTTTACAATCACAACTGAGCCCAACATTTATCTTGCTGAGTGAGATGGTTGTTAAGTGAATTTTGCCACATTTTACAACCTGTCTTTAACAGATTAACAGGGTTGGAAGGGGCCTTGTAGGTCATCTAATCCACCCCTCCTGCCCAAGCGAGAGATCCTACACCATTTCTGACAAATGGCAGTCCAATCTCTTCTTGAAAGTCTCAAGTGATGACGCTCCCACGACTTCTGAAGGCAACTTCTGTTCCATTGGTCGATTGTTCTCCCTGTCAGGAAATTCCTCCTTATTTCTGCGTTGAATCTCTCCTTGTTCAGTTTCCATCCATTCTTCCTTGTCTGGCCTACAGACCCTTTAGTAAATAGCTTGACCCCCTCCTCCTCTCTGGGGCAGCCCCTCAAATGTTGGAAGGCTGCTCTCCCATCTCCCCTGGTCCTTCTCTTCACCTGCCTTGCCACAGCTATTGATTGAATTATTGTTAAATTAGTAACCCAGTTGTTAAGTGAATCTGGCTTCCCCATTGATTCTGTCAGATGGTCACAAAAGAGGGTCACACAGTGTAACCGTCATAAATGCGAACCAATTGCCAGGCATCCAAATTCTGATCCAGTGACCATGGAGACGCTGCTACAATAAGTGTGAAAAAAATGGTTACAAGTCCCTTTTTTCGGTGTTGTTGTAACTTCGGCCACTAAATGAACCATTGTAAGTTGAGGACTACTGTTATTCTGCTGCCTGGAGCTGATGCCTTGAGGCTGCCTCTATTCTCTCTAGACTCGACATTGGTATCCCAATAGATATTTCTAAAGTTTTTATTTTATTGTGTTTACTCATCTAGGTGAAATATTATTATATAATATATTGCTTGTTCATGTATGATACGTCGTACGCTAAATAAATTCACAGGTGTGGTTGCTATACGCCTACGTAGCAAAACAGAGGAAGCAAATAGTTTTAACTATCTCTTGCAGAGTCATCCTCTTAGATCGGGGTGGGAAATAATGGCCCTTTTATGAAAGGCTCGGGAATTCTGGGAGTTGAAGTCCACAAGTCATAAAATCGCTTCCCGCCCCTGCTCATAGATTAACGGAAGGGACCTTGTAGGTCATCTAGTCCAACCCCCCGCACACAC